TGAACCTCTGGCTAGGACCTCTGCCTGGCAGCTTGGGGGCAGATGGTGGAGGGCTCTAGCCCAGAGCAGACAGTGTCCTTTCAGGAGCCCAGAGGAGAACTGCTGGGGCTGGTGGGCTGGGCGAGGTGGAAGGAGAATGACACCTATACAAAGGTCAAAGGGTATCTTTGAGGGGGCCAACACACTTATAAATGAATGCACCACTTATAAGTGTGTCTATATGGCTTGATGGCGGGGCATCTGGTGATCACCCACGACTAGCCACTGGCTTAGCATGGATGTTGTGACAAAGTACCATTAGACTGTACATTTTAAAAGGGTAGATTTAAATATTTTTTAAATTCATGTTTAGAGAGAGAGAGAGAGGAAAGGAGCGGGAGAGGAAGGGAGAGGGAGAAAGAGGAATAGCAAAGGAGAGAGATCTGTTGCCTCCCACACATACCCCTACTGGGATCAAATTCACAACCTGGGCCTGTGTCATGACCGGAAATTGAACCTGTTACCTTTTGGTGCAGGGGATGACACCTGAAAACAGACCCACACCGACCAGGGCTAAAAGGGTGGATTTGATGGTGAGAGGATGATACATCAACATTTAGAAAAGGATGCTGAGAGCTTGGTTGCGGTGGTGCTTTCCAAGTGTGTTTGACCCGGATGTGGTGGGTTCCTAAAGTGCAGGGGTTGGTGCTGGAGTTGCCGGGCATCCGCCACACACAGCAAGGGCTGTTCAGGGACCGCTGTATCCTGGCTGGGTCCTCATGGAGCTGGGAGTCGGGATGGTGACATTTGGAGCAAGCTTCCTGTTCAGCTGGAGCCCCTGGAGGCAGTCGGTAGCCTCAGCCACTACTGGGAGTCCCGGCCCCCATTTGCTGCCCTTATCTTGGCGCTTCTCGCCAAGCCCTCTGAGCTAACAGATGGTTGAGCCAGGGGCAAAGTTAATGACTAACCAGGAGGAGAGAGAGAGCGGGGAGCTTTGACACACACACAGGTAGCCTTCTGGCCTCTGGAGCACTTGAGGCCTCTTCTGAGCCACACCCCCAGCCCTGGTGGAGGCAGGGCAGGCAGGGTTGGGCTGTCCCTGGCAGAGAAATTTGGCCTCCAAAGGGCCCAGCAGCACCACCTGTGAGATCCAGGGACAGGTCCCTTGTTGCCCAAGCCCCCTCCTCAGAGGTGCCCAAGCACAACATTCTCCTACCCAGGACCCACCCAACCCCACCAGGGCCTACAGCGCCACCTGTTTCTCCACTGGTTCCGGAGCTTTGAGAGGCTAACGTGCCGAGTGCTCTGCGAAGTGTCTCCTCAGACCCACCCGAGACCATGTGGCTGCCAGGGCACCAGCCAGAAGACTTGGGCACACCCCCCCCCCCCCCATCTTGTACTATGACACGCTCAGGCACACATGTGCATGGACGCATAAAAACACATATACACGTTGGGCAGGCCGGGTTGGTTTCTTCACTCCCCAGGTCTGTGCCAAGGAAATATCAACGTGAATCCTGAGAGACTAGCCCTTGCAAAAGGCACAGATGCTTCAGAAGTCCTTGGCCAAAAGTGAAGGTGGGTGGCGCTGTCAGGGCTTCCTGCACCAGTGTCTGAGGTGCCCTCCCAGGGCTCTTTAAGAGGGCAGGTGGAGGCGAACAGGAACTTCTTTGCTAAGGTGGTTTTTAAAACGCCACAGGCACTGCCATTCTGTTTGGACACCACCGTGTAGCCGAGGGCTGGTGCGGCCAAAGGAAGCGCAGGGGGAGCAGAGTTCCGCCGTCCAGGCCACCTAGTGCATCCTGGGAGGGCAACCTAGCCACATGGCCAGACCCGATCCAGGGCCTGGTAGGAGTAAGGTGGGCATGGATGCTGCCAGGTGGTGAAGACAGCTTGGAGAGGGCTGGGGTGGCCAGGGGGTGGAGTGCGTGGCCTCCGATTGTGCTGGGTAGGGAATTCTGCATGGAGAGCTCCCCGTTCCATGGGCCCCATTACTCCAAAGTTGCTAAAAAAAAAAAAAAAAAAAAAAAAAAAAAAAAAAAGTCCTTGGAGGTTTCCAATACTTCTGACTCCAGTTTCTTGTGGGCAGAGAGGCTGGCTCAGGAAAACTTACTCTTAGGGTCCTAATTGCTCACCAACATGGCTGCTGAGTCCCCACACCTGCCCTGAGAGTGCCCCGCCCAGAGCTGCACAGTGCTGTTCCCATCAGGTGCCCACAGCCTGCCTGGTTGCCTGCCAGCCCACGTCCTGATTGGGAACCTTGGTGTCAACGGGCCCATGGAGGCAGGTACTGTTTCTGATACAGCACCTGAGACTGAGAGTGTTTCTCTCTTCTCTGGATTGAAGTGACATGCTTTCCTGAGCTTGAGGCAAGAGTGGTGAAGCCACAGCAAGAGAGAGAGGCAGTCCCCAACAACATGCCATACAACACCCTCTGCCCAGCTCCAGGCAGAGGGCAAGCACGGTGCCCAGTCTCTCAGAGGGTCCCAGAGCACTTTCTGTGATGGGTGGGGATGAAGAGAAGACAGGAGAGTGAGGGGACAAGAAATCCACCTCTGGGCACCCTCTCTTACTGTGGTCATCAGTGTGGGGCCACACAAAGCCGATGGACAAAGCCACCTGGAGAGGCTGCCCATCTGTCAGACCCTCAGTGCAAAGAATGCTAACATCCTGCCCAACCGGCATGCGTAATGGTTGAGAGTTGATCTATAAACCAAGAGGTCAGGGTTCGATTCCTGGTTAGGGTACATGTCCAGTTTGTAGGCTCCATTCCCAGGGGGAGGCGGGATTCACTCATTGTTGATGTTTCTCTCTCTCTCCCTTTCCCTCTCTGAAATCAATAAATAGATTTATATGTATATAAAAGCCAACTTCCTCACTCTAATTCAATCTTTAATGCAGTTTCACAAAATTCCAGACACTGACGTATCCTTGAAGAGGTTATACTGTGTACCATCCTAGCCCTGTGAATGAAGATGGATCACCCCGCTGGAAAATGGAAATTGCTGCACCTCACTCCTCAACACGAGGAATGGCCGTGACCCTGAGCTGGCTGTGTATGGATATGCTCTGGCCAACTTTAAAGAACCGAGGCACACAGGAGCACGGAGGTGGGGTGTGGGGGTACAGTTCAGGGCTGAGTGGTCAGACACTATGATATGGGGGCTCCCTACCAGTCCCCATCCCCTTTGCTTGCCTTCTCAGTGCAGCCTCGCCTGTACAGACACCACTTTTAATTCTTATTTTTTATTAAAATACTGTAATACCCTGTGGAATGCAGCAGCAATCCTGGTACAGGGTGGCATAACAAAACAACCATGTTTACATTTTAAATATTTACGATAACTTAAACATACAGACACACATCATGGTCTTTGGCAGAAAATGTTCACAGCACAAAAAAAATACTTTAAAAGAAATACCAAATATTAATCCAAAATATATTAAGTTGTGTTTTTTTTTTTTCTTTCACAATACTTTTTTTTAACCTTTTTTTCTTCCTTTTTTTTTTTCTTTTTCTTTTTGCTTTGTAAACAATGCACATGAACCAAATGTATTTTTCAGCTTTAAGAGAACAGGAGGGGGTTTAAAAAAATATGCAATTGTCCAGCAAATGCAAATGTTCAAAAAGGAACCATGAGAATAAAATAACACATACAGAACTTAAAAACAGAAAAGGGAAAAGAAAAAACAATGAAGATTCAAGAACTAAAAAACAGTCAAGACAAACTGCTCAAGCCCACCAATTGCTCCAGGGGCTGAGCTGGGGACTCTTTAAGACCAGAGGTCTAAGTCAGTGCTGCCGGCAGGCCGCCACGTGGATGCTTTGCTCCAATTCCAAGCACTGGCCCTGCTTCCGGGCGCCGGGCGCGGGTAGCTAGAGGAGCCAGCCTCACGGGTGCCGTTCTGTGACGGGGTCTCCCTCCAAGGAACTGAGTCACATCTTATAGCCCATGGACTAGTTAGTTTTCACCAGCATCGCTCCCTCTCTCAATCCTTCCAGGTGGGGTCAAAGACTCTGATGAGAACAAGGCAATGCCTCATTTCCTTCGAAAGCTGGGTGCAAGGACGCCCACCGTGGCAGATGTCTGCGTGCGGTGGCTCACTTCACCTGGCTCAGGCTTCATAACCAGACCGACGGGCTGTCCCAGGGATAGGAGTTGGTGAGGGTGCCATGGGTGTTTAGAACGGCTCAGGGTGGGAGGAAAAGACAGCGAAAATATTCCGTGGATCCACCGGTATCAAAGTCCACGGGCCAAGAACTTGAGAACTAACTGGGAGGCTGGTCAGAAGATCCAGGAACCGTGGCAGCAGGGATGAGAGCACGGAAGGAGGGACAAGTCCGAAGCAGCACGCTTCAATCTTCTGTTCCGCAAGCAAGGGAGTTATGTACAAACTGCCCAGCAGATCCCAGTCCACTGATCAGCCCCGCCCATTCCCAGGGAGGGGGTGATGCCGTGGCTTCTGCAGAACTAACACCTTCAAACAGTCCCCCACAGGAGCAAGTCTTAGTGGTCCCCAGGAGGCAGTGAGTAGCTGAGGAGCAGATGAGGTTGGCTGGGACCACACTTAGTCAGAGGGGAACACCATGGCCAGCTCCATGACCGAACCAGCCTACTCATTTGTCCATGGGCAGCCATCCTTGGAAGTCAGACCTTAAACCAATCTATCCCCTCCCTCCCTCCCTGACTGTCAACTGGGGATGCACAGGGTCTCAGCTCTCTTCTAGGCCTTCAGGCGATACCCCAGCAGCAAGGCTTGGGCAGCAGGTGAAGGCTGAAGCCTCATTCTCTGCATGAACCTGGGAAGAATGTGGGGCTAAGAAGCAGGGTCTTCTGGGGCACAGGTACATCCCTCTCTCCCCGTAGCATCCTTCCTAAGCTCCTGGGACCAGATGGTCAAAGGGAATGAGTGTCCGGCTGGGGGAAGACGGGGAGCAGCAGTTGGAGTGGCTGCCGGAATGGGCGCAAGGGACAGAGGAGAGCAGGGAACAGTTCGGAGTCCCCACGGCATCCTCTCCTTCAGATCAGGATCTCCACCATGTCTGACAGGTCCTGGACTCTCGATGCAGCGACAGAGTCTAAGAGACAAGAGCACAGGCACACACATTAGCAAGTGTTTCCAGACCACTCTGTTCAACTCTGGTACATTCCGAAGACAGGATCTTTCTTCACCAACTCCCCCCACCTCAGCTCCCAGGGACCTGGGTTCCCATAACTTGGCCAGCCAGGCGCAATGCTCTGCTCCCTCTCGGCTCTCCTCCCAGACTCCCAGCCTCCTTCGCGAAGACACATTTGTTTATAACTTTGAACTCCTGGGAGGGCCCTGAGGGAGGCAGGCTGCTGCATTCTTCTCATGCCTGTGGTTTTCTGAGCCATGAGGCACAAGCAAATATGCAAAGGCTAATGCGAAAGGGAGCAAAAAAATGTAAAGGGCATCTTCTCAACTTTCTCCTTCCTGGACTCTTTCGAAATGAAGCCTTCCAACTCGAGAGTGCCAGCGGGATCATTAGCCAATCTCCACGGGGACTTGGGTATTTACACCGGGCAATTAAATGTGTAAGGAAGACTAGGAAAGGGGAGAGATAACGTGTCTCCCATGAGGTGGCTTTCTTTCTGAACCCTGGATCTGTCTGTAACCAGGGTTTTCTGTTCCTCTATTCATGCACCCAAGCGGCCCTCGAGTCCACACTGAGGCACTGTGCAGACTCCCCCCCCCCCCCCCCCAGAGTAGAGGCACTGAACATACGGGGTCTGGGAAGGAGTGCGGTGTTGAATGCCGTTCGTACCCCAATGTGTCCTCAGCCTTGCTAGGCACAGCGGCCAGGAAGAGGGGGCTTACCCAGGGAGGCTGTCCTCTGGCCACTGCTGCACCCCAGAAGGCTGTCGGGCTCCAGTCCCAGGCAGGCCGGGGCGCTGTCCGGGAGGCCGTCAGTCTGGGTGCTGCCATCTCTGCTCCCGTGTTTGGCATGGGCAGGAAGGGGTGCTGTGGCCACTGGGTCCTCCACAGGAGCCCTGTCTGCTGGAAAGGGAGAGGGTGATGGTTATTGCCTCGTCCACAAGACGCGGCCCCCACAAAGAAGGACCCCCCCCCCCAAGTTAACTGCACCTACGGTGAGCAAAAGGTGCTGCAGGTTGCTCTTGGATGGCAAGACTTTCCATTAGGACCAAATATTTCTGTTCCAAAGTGGGAATAACTATCAGGCTTGATTGGTTTCCAAAGGTTTTGAGTGATAGAACTCTCTTTCTTTGTAGATTATATCTTAGAACCAACAGGGATTCTAGAATTTCTAGGGCTTCTGCTTAGAAGGAGTGAGTGTAGGGGGCTTGCCTCAAAGGTGCGTTTGCACAGAGAGCTTTATTTTTACGTAGGTGCTCAGTGGCTGGGCAGAGGGTGACGAAATGTATGGCGAGAGGGGGCTGCAGCACTTCACACTGGCAAAGACAGCTGTGGGAGGCAGAATGGTTGGAGTCAGAGGATAAGCTGGCTCCCAGGTGAGGGGGCAGGAAGCCCTGGTTCCTCTGAGCTTCAGTTCTGGGGGGAAAGGCCTCAGAGCTACCGACCCTTCTCCCTATGCCACCCACCAGCCTCCGCTCACCTGCAGCCAACCAGGCAGGGGCATCCATTTGCCGCTCACTCGAGGAGAGCGCCTGCCAGCCCTGGGTCGCTGTTGCTGCGGCCGCAAAGACAGATGGCACCGACTTGGCGGGCCGCAGGGAGCCCGGGGGGGCCTTGCTGGGGTCTTTCCTGGAGCGCTGCTGCAGGACCTTGATCACCGCATCCTTCTCCAGGATCTGGGCATGGAGCACCTTTAACCTGAGGGGAGAGGCCATGCCCACATGGTTAGACCCACAGACCCAGTGGCCCTCACCTTTCCCACCTGGTTAACCTTGGAGGGAAAGCCCTCCTTACAGCCAGGCTGGACCCAATGCCCTTCTGAAAGGTCACCAGAGCCCCGGATTTCCACGCTCTGAAAACCACCTCTTCCTAGGCCAGCAAAGGCCGGCCCTCAGGGGCGGGTTCTGGACTCATCCGCTGGGAGCAACGGCACAACCCTCACCCTGGGGTGCAACCCCAGAGCTGAGACCATCAAATGGGCTCAGTCACCGTGCTTGTGCCTCTGAGTCAAACACAGGACCAATGACATCGAGGGGCCTCTGGCATTCATTTTGGAGAGAAAATGCTAGCTACCCCCCAGCTAGGGACCCAGTCCACATTCCTTTGGAGTGGGACATGGTGTGGCCTCAGTTGGAGAGTCTCTGATTTACATGGTGGAAGGGGAGCAGGGAGAGGCCCCGAGCTTTGTGGCACCCAGCACCTCCACCGCCAGGGTGTCTCCTGGGCAGGTCCAGGGCTCAGTTGCTATCTCTGGGAAAGGACATGCACACAACACCTGGTGTGCTCAACACACGGCCAGCTCAGAAGTAGGAGGGCCTGCTGAGCCACGTGGGGAGAGGGGACTGACTGTTCATCAGAAATTAAGGGCAGGACACTGCTACCTCCCACTACACCCAGGGGCCCCCCGGCCTGGCCTGCCATGCCGCACCTGCTCTCCATCTCCTGATGCCTGTGGCCACCGGCGAGGAGGCCCTCGTTGAAGCTGCTGCTGGGGGAGGGCTGGGGGGAGTGTCGGATGAGAGTGGTGTCACGCTGGGCAGCGGCTGTGGCGGCTGCGTCCATGGCAAACTGCCTCATGGCACATTCCTCCAAATACTTCTGCTCCCACTTGGTCATGTCCGCCTCCAGCGCCAGGATCTGCTCCTCCTTCTCCCGCAGTTGCTCGGAGAGTCGCAGGGCACTCAGTTCTGGGGACCCACCACTGCCACCACCACTGGGGGTGCTGACCTGTCTCTGCAAAGCAAGGAGTACTGTGGTCAAGGATGGAGGCGGGGGTGTGCCCTAGCCCCGCCCCCTCTACAGGGCTCCCCAGCTCACCTGCTGTGCACGCAGGGCCTTGAGTTCCTGCTCCAGGCGCGTGCGCAAACGCAGCTCCAGCTGCTCCCGCTTCTCACATGCAACCTGCAGCTGCCCCAGTGCCTGCTGCAGCCGCTCCACCTTCTCCACGTAGGCCTGCTTCTTGCGAAGCTCCTCCTCAGCTCGCGCCGCCCGGCCCTGGGCGTTGCTCAGAGCCTGCTCCAGCAGCTCGGCACGCCGCCGCTGGTCCTCGATGGCACCGCGCAGCAGTGCGATTTCCCGCTCCAGCTTCTCCTGCTCCTGCTGCTGCTCATAGCCTGCAGGGAGAGAGGGGGGCTCCGTCAGGGACAGCGGCCACCCTGGCAGGCCTTACTGGGCGCCCACTGAGGGCCAGGCTCCATGCTGACTGCTGGGGGAGCACACTTACATCCTATCCATCTTATCCCTAAGAGTTGGGTACCATTATTAACCCTGTTATGGGTGAGAAAACTGGGGCTCGGGTTAAGTTGGGAGTCAATGGCTATGCAGGACCAGGGCCCTTGCAGTTGTCTCTCTGCTGGGATATGGCCCTGCCAACGGATAGCCCCAAACACTGTCCACGTATACCAGGTGTCATGGTTTCTAAAATACATTCAGTTCCCCCGGAGCCTCATAAGGACACGAGAGACTGGCCAGACAGGATCTGTGACCCCCATTTACAGATGAGAAAACAGAGGCTCAGGAGGACTATGACATGGACATCGCTCAAGTGGGAGGATGAAGGAACAGGGCCGAGCACCACCATTAGCTCCGCTACAAGCTAGGCACCTACACTTCCTATTCTGCTAAAGCCTCCAATAACAGCCCCCTTGAGGTAGGATTTGTGACCCCCAACTTACAGGGGAGGAAACAAGAAGCGAACGGTACTGCCAAGCGAATGGAACACACAAGTCAGCCTGGCTCCCAAAACCAGGCTACTTCTGGCTTTGTTACAAAACCGTGTACCCAGGGCCTCCCAAAAGCGGACTCCAGGGCTCATTCTACGGACCCAGCATCCCCCACCCCAACCCCACCCCCACCCCAGCTCCATTACTTTCCATGGCCTGGCGACACCACTGAGATATGGGCAATCGGGCTCACAAAGAAATGCAAACTTTGGAGCACCACGAAAAAGACGACGGTCCGAAGATTTGTGCCTGAGGTGCCAGCTATCCTGACTTTTACATCATAGTGTCCTCTGTCCAGGAGAGCTCTGTTCACAGCCGGCTCCATTAGCTGGGCCAAGCAAGACCCGCGCCAGACCCCGGACTCCTTAGCCGATGCTCTAGGCTTAAACCCGCCTCGCAGGCTTGCCTCCCCCGGGCAAGCATGTCCACTGCCTGCCTTGCTGGAGGGCAGAAGGGGGTTTGGGCCCGGGGCCTGTCTGCCACACTCAGAGGCACCGGAGTAGCACTATCGCGGCACAGTGGAATTTTCGGCTGTAACGAGGCTGCCCTGTGCTGCGCCGGTCAGTGCAGGAGCCACTTGGCATGTGCCAGCGAGCACTTGAAATGGAGCTGGTTGGAGGGAGAAACTAAATTGTTTGCTTTATTTAATTTTCATCTTTGGGTCACGTGTGGCTAAGTACTGTTGTAAAGGACAGTACGGGTTCTGGGACAGAAGATCGGACACTTGGGATCTGGGCAGAAAGGAGGATTCAATTACTCAGGGCCCTGGGAGAGGAGAGAGGTCACAGACGATTCAGGTCAGCTCTGGGTCCCTCTGGTTTTCTGAAGGCTGGGCCCAAAGCCAGCCTCCTTCCTTGGTGTGGAGGGAAAAGATGGGGAAGCTCAACGTGACTGAAAATCGCGTTGTTCCTACTGGGCGCGCTTCACATTCAGTGAGTGGGGTGGAGCGGGTGGGCCAGGCCAGCAGGCTGAGAGTTTGGACCTAGAGACAATGACCCTCTCCTGGGTGGGCTACAGAGTTTGCAGGAGGCCTGTATCTCATCCCAGCCATAAAACTGTCCTCCTGTCTTCAAGAACAGCCAAGGGGGACAGAGCTAGGAGAGCCAGGTGGCAGGGCTCTCTTGCCAGATCCCCAGAAAGGGCAGGGCACGGCCAGAGCAGGTGAAGCTGGGGTCTGTAGAGCTGGGGTCTGTGCGGCCTGCCTGGCAGGAGAGGCAGTGGCCCTGGCAACAGAGATCACACTTCCCTACTAGTGGGGGGTGGAGGAGAGGATGAGATTCAACCAGAGACATTTTCTCTGAGAGTACTGTGTTTCCCCAGGGCTATTAAGGAGCGAGGACGAGTTGCTTAGGTTTCCTCAGGCTTTGGGGGAGGAGTGGGAAGTCTTAGCCTTCTGTTTCCAGTAGCTTCCTGCCGCCTAGCACAATCTCTAGGGCCCTAGCAGGGGCTGGGAGTTCTCAGGCCTTGGCCACCAGGATAAAACCATGGGCCTGCCTGTCTGGAGGGAATTTTCTGGGTGGAGGAAGCCTGTGGGGGGAGAGAAGGCAGGGGGAGGGGAGGCAGAACCAGCTGTGGAGGGAGCAGGGGGATGCCCTTTCCCCTTGAGAAATAGAGCCCTCCCACCCCCCACCTGCACCCTCTAGTCTGCCGTTGTGTCCGCGCTCTCCTCCCAGAGCAGCAGCGGGGAAGGGCCAGGTGAGGGGGGCAGGGCTGCGCAGCCAAGCAGCAGAGGGGGGGACAACCCAGAGTAGAACAGCCCAGCGGCTCTGGAATGCCAGGCATCCAGGTCACCCGCGGCTGCGAGGAGATTACTGGCTCCAGCGAGGAGCCAAGAACAGCCTGGCGCTGGCTCCCCAGGGAGCGGAAATGCCTCCAGGCCGGTTCCCCCACGCCCCTCCTCTGCCGGCTCCCAGAAACTCGCAGTGACTTCCTTTGTTTGGCAGATCCAGGGCCCAGAAGTGGGCCTTCCTACCGGACACCCTTACTGTGCCGCCTCCCAGCAACTGGTCCTCTCCGGACTCCCAAGGGCTGCAGCCTCCCCTTACTCCCTCACCACCCATCACCTCCCTCCTAGAGACACAAGCCATTGCCACCTCGCCCCACTCCGCCAGAACAGCCCAGTCTACCTCCTGCCCCACCCCACCCCACCCCTCCCCACCCCCTTCAGTGCTGCATTCACCCATTCCAAGCCCTGAACTCTCCTTGAGGAAGGAGGAGGTGCTGCCAGTCAGAGCTCATTCCTCCAGCGGCTCCACCATTTCTGGTCACCCCCTACTAGCCAAGCCAACCACAGAGTAGGCTTCCTGAAGGTTCCTTCCTCAAGGCCACCCTCACCCAGACACCAGACACCCCATTCCTTTTCTCTGCACCCACCCCCCCAAATATTACTATAAAACAAAGTAGGATCATACAGTAGGATCTCAATAAATGCCTCTTTGAATGCTACAGCTCCCTGCTGTTGAGCTTAGTGCTTCCTCTGCCTCCACCCCCAACCCCATGCACCTCTCCTTGAACCTTCCAGCTGTTTCTTCACCTGTGGTCCGCTCTCCATCCCTGCCATTCCCACAGAGCCTCTCCCTCTGGCCACTGGGGAGCCCCTAGTCACTGGTCTCCAGGGCCAGGGTACCCTGGTTCCCTTGATACTGTGTCTTCCTTTACTCTGTTCCTTCCTCAAGCTTAGCCCCTCTCTCCTCACCTCCCTGCCAAAGTACCTTCCTGTGCCAGGTGCTTGCTTCGCACAGTGCAGCGGAGGAACCAAGGAAAGACTGAATGGAAAAGCCAATAATCAACTCAGCTCTTCAAGGCAGCTTCAACCAACCCCTTGAGGGAAGCCTCCCAGCCCCTTCTGTAGATGCACCTGCTGGTTAAGCTCCAGGAACCCATGGTTGCTGTCCTCTGGTGCCTCCATGCTCCGCAGCATCTCCCCTGCACACTGGGCATCGCCAACCCTTCTGTTGCCGGAAACTTTGGGGAAACCCAGACTCTTTCTCTCTTGCCTCTCACCATCTCCAGGGCAATCCTGCCTCCTCCACTGCCCTCTACACCTCTGCTCCAAAGGACACTGCCCTGATGGTCAGCACCACTGCTCGCCAGCTGTCCCTCCTTGTATCCACTGATCTCCCCAATAAGTAGAGAACCAAACATTATTCTTCTTCAGAAGGCACCCCTCGCCCCCAGTTTAGTACAGTGCTTGGCGCATAGTAGGCATTCAGCAAACCTGTGCTCAGAGGGCTGTTTGACAAGGGGAAGACCCAGTCCTTACTGTCCAGAGGGGCTTCCATGGTCCCACCACCCATCCACCTGGCCCGGCTTCTGAGTGGGACCCCTACTCACTCTGAGCAAGCAGCTTGGCCACCATGTCCTGACTGCCGGCCTGGGCCTCCTGCGTCTTGCTCGCCAGGCGGCGGTTTGCAGATTCCAATCTCTCTGTTTGAAATAAAGGAGAGATGCTTGAGTAACCGATGAAGCTGCCTATCCAGGTGTCCCCTGGAATCCTATGTGGGGCTGCAACCTCCAAGGTAGGGATGGACTCATAGGGGGGCCCCTGGAGCAGTTCAGGGCCGGAGGAGGAGGGAGCAGCTGAGGCCACATAAATGAGAGTTTCACGGGGAGGGGAGGGGAAGAAGGCGGGGGGCGCACCAGGGGTCCAAGGTCCAAAACTTAGAAGGAGCCTCTCCACCAAGGTGGCCCCCAAGGGGTCTCTATCTGGCCTTCTTTGAGTCAATTTACACTCCTTTTTGCAGAGAACAGATCCAGCCGGGTGACCGGCTCTCACCTCTAAGATCCCGGTTGAAGTCCTGCAGCCTCCTCATCTCACTGTCCATCTTATTCCGCATGGTCTTCTCCAGGGCCTCCCGCTTGGAGGAGGCTCTCGTCAGGCTCTCGTGGGCCTCGGAGAGCCGCTGGACTTCGCTTTCCAGCTGCAAGAGGCAGACAGCAGGGCTGAAGGGGAGAGCTCCCGGGGTGTGTGTGGCTTCAATGCCCCCTCCACAGGCCCGGGCTGATCTGCTCTCCATCAGAGAAGGGGAGAGGAGAGGATAAAAAACGAGAGCAAAAAAATCCTGGTGGCAATAGTGGGAGAGTCAGAAGCTTGCAGCCTTGGGCCATGGACCAGACTGCTGGGACTGGCAAGCCAGGGTCCTGTCAACCTTCCTAAGGTCCAGATGCCCATGGAACCCAGGACTAAGTGCCTCCAGGGGTGATTAAACACAGCTTTTCAACCTGAGCCCAGGGGGCCAGCAGTGGGCACAGAACATGGATTCCAGCCACGTTCTGAGGTTGAACCTATTTTAGATGCCACAGGACAGCCACGGGCGGTCTGAGGCCACCTGCTACAGTTGCACACACAGCAGTAGACCTTCACTAAAGAATGGGGCACTAGCCGAAACCGGTTTGGCTCAGTGGATAGAGCGTCGGCTCAGTGGATAGAAGGGTCCCAGGTTCGATTCCAGTCAAGGGCATGTACCTTGTTGCGGGCACATTCCCAGTAGAGGGTGTGCAGGAGGTAGTTGATCGATGTTCCTCTCTCATCGATGTTTCTAACTCTATCCCTATCTCTCTCCCTTCCTCTTTGTAAAAAAATCAATTATATATATATATATATATATAGAATGGGGCACTGGACCCCCGTCTGACTTGCCTCTGCCCAGAGTATTTGCTCCTCTGACTATCACCATCCCCTGTAGAGGGCCAGCCGGGTCCAGCTGCCCCTCCCACGTGGCCGCTGCCAGGTTCCACACGTGCTCCTAGTTGGCCTGTGATTCCAATAAGTCGCTTTTTTTTCCCCCAAGAGGAGGGGCTTTCTCTTTGGCCAGGATTGGCCTAGAACAGACTTGCTGTTGTGTGGGGGACACAAAGGGCTCTCTGTGGGAGGTGTCCGCGGGACAGGAAGGGTGCGAGCGTGCAGGGAGCTGGTGAATGAGCTCTTTCTAATCACCCCTGGCCAGCAACTGCTCATGCTCCAGTGCTGCTCTGCTGGCCTCGCGGCTGCTCCCCAGCTGCCTGGAATCAGCCAGGAAGGGGGCATGAGGGATTAGGGGGTGGGGGGGGCGGGGGGGCGGGTAGAAAGCCCAGCCAGACAAGCTTTCAGACTCCGCTGCCTCCCCTTCGACACCCACTCCCCAGTCGGCCGTCGGGTCCCGTCCTCCCCCTGCCCCTGAAACCCCGGCAGGGCCTACCTTCTCCATTCGGCCAGCCTTCTCCGCTGAGCTCTCCAGCTCTCTCTGTAGTCGCTCATTGTCCCTCTGTAGCCTGGCGTTCTCCCTCAGCACAGCCTCCAGCTGGGCCAGTTGGGCGCTGCCCGAAGTGGCCGAGGAGGCCTGGGTGCTTGCTGGCCCCTCCACCCCAGGTGGACTGAGGGATCCCAGTGGGCCGTGGCCAAGAGCAGCTGGGTGTGGAGGTGGAAGGTGCTCCTGGGGTTGCTGCAGGTACTGGTACTGCTGCTGCTGGAGGAATACAGGAGGCACCTGGGCCTGCAGGATCCTGGGGGACAGAAGAGATGATGCTCAGAAACTGCACAGACCTCCCCCGAGAGCAGCCCCGGGTCGGCGCAGCCCTCCTGGGCACGCTGGAAAGACAAGTCCACTCAGCCTCCCCACAGTGGGAAAAGCCTTTCCACAAGGTGTCTGCCTAAGACCCTCACGGGCCAGGAGAGCAGGGCTGGAGGGGATTCGGGCCAGAAGGCTTGTTTCTCTCCCAGCTTCACTGTGGCCAGGGCCTTAGGGATTAGCCAGGGCAGTCCTGAGCTTCCTACACAACCCGTGTTTAAAGAAGGCATCCTTAAAAATACACACTGGAACCTTCTAATCAAAGGCAGGTTCTTTTTGGGTCTGGAGGCCACATCCATCCTGACTGAGCACACTGCCTTCCAGGCCCCTGGACCGCTCGGTGGCGGAGCCCCAACAGCTACCTGTGTGTCTGTTATGAGCCTCTAGTGTCAGGCGTGACGTTAGCCCCTGCCAGCGGGGCACACACGTTTCTCCCTGCTCTCTCGGGTCCCTGACAGAAACAGTCTCCTAAAACTGTTTCTGTCAGGGACCCGAGAGAGCAGGGAGAAACGTGTGTGACTAAAGTTAAGAGTGACGAGACAGAGGTCAGAATGAGTCTGAGCTCTGGTCTGACAAAGTTGGCTTTTACATGCCCAAGGTGCTAGCAAGGTTTCTCTGGCTTCAACGGGGTTCGCCAGGGACATACAGGCCTGGCAGAGAGTTGGGCCTCAGGCAGGTGCTACCATAATGGGGGCCCATCATCTACCTCTCCTAGTGGGGACTTACTCTCCGTTTAAAGAGGAAGTGTGACCCAAACACTGCCTTTTCTTAGCTGGAGGGGCTGCCATAGCCCACCATAGCCATAGTGTAGGGACAATGCTTGACTGGCTTCTAGACCTATGTATCACAAGTCTCAGGGTCTTATGTTGGGGGAGGTTGGAGGAGGGGCACCCAAAAGCAAGGGGCCTGTCACTCCAAGTGTAAAACAACAGACTGTCTCAGTTTTACCAGGAATTGCCCGAGTCCCAGAAACCCCATGAAAAATTTAATTCCACTCCGGGGTCCATCATCTCAGTATTCATGCCCGCCCTTCCCCTCACCCCTTCCCCTACGGCCTGGCTCCTTGTTCTTCTCAGGACCCTGGGCTAAAAGGCCCTGCCTTCAGTTCCCAGCACACAGTCCTTGTCTGACCGGCTAAGGCAGAGCTTCCAGCCAGCACCGAGCAGAGGGTCCCCCTGAGATGCCCAGCCCCCCTGCACTGCCAAACATGGCCTTCTCGGGGTTCCTTCACGGAACTTGCTCCCCCTGCACCGGGCCTGGCAGACACAACTGGCATTCTTTGGGGATGACTTAGCTCCCAGAAAGAATAGAGTCTCCTTTCCCTTCACACTTGCTCTCCCTTCCCTTCCCCCTCCCTCTTTTTTTTTTTTTTTTTTTTTTTTTGTTCTCCTGCAAACAGTCTACTTCCTTTCCACAATATTATCTTTTCCTGACAGGGTCCAATAAGGCTGGTCCCAAAGAAGAAACCACGACTCAGCTTCCGAAACTTTCCCCAAGCCAGCCCTGAGAAGGGAGATAAGGCAGGGGGCCGGGGAGGTAGAGGCTGGGGAGGACCCACAAGGCTCTCTGGTTCCTCCAATACCAACATCCTCGCGTCACTCATTTCTCGAGAGCAAGGAAAGGCCAAATGGTGGGAAAGTGGGTGACTAAATGAAGCATCAGCAGACTTTGACCTTGAGTCATCAGAAGAATGGAGGGCGCAGGTCCTCAGGCCCCTCTGGGAAGGGGGATCCTGGACCCCCCGTGGGGTGATTCAGGATGTGTGAAATGAAGAGTGTGTCAGCTTCATTTCTAGGAACCCCTATTTCTGCAAACTCTCTGGGCTCACGGTCTCCATGCTTGTCCCTTAGCCACCACTCTCTACAGGCAGCCAGAGAGGCCTGTCTCTTACAATGGTAAGCCCCTCACATCCTCCGAAGGCTTTCCTTCCCTTAGACTGAAACCCCAAGTCCCCCCAGCAGCCCCTCAGAGCCCCCACAGAAAGGGGCTCATCTGGACCCTGAATCCTCTCCCCCTCCAGGCTGCAGACACATGGGTCATAGGGATGAACATGAGAGGAAATGGACAGGAGAGGCCGGGCAACTCTGCCCTGGTGCAGAGTGGGGCGAGGTCTCTGAGGAGGCCATTTGGTCCTTCCTGTCTCCAATGAGGCATGCCTCCCAATACTCAGAGAAGGCACTGTCCACTTGTCAAAATCTGCCTTTAGCAAGTTCTTTCCGAAACCTAACCTTTAACCCCCTGGGAACTCTAGGTAGCTGAAGGCTATAGGTAGGTAGACATGGTGTCCATGTCCAAACCAATGCAAGGGGTGTCGCTAAGTTCGCTCTGACCTTGGCTAAGCCCCTCTCTGGGCAATAGCTCCTCAGTCTTGGGAAGGAGCCGTGACACAATGGGCCCTGGAGGCTCTCTATCCTGGGAGATGGACACTGACAGGAAGTCAAGAGTTCGGAAGGCAAGGCGGGCGGTTACCTGACTTCAGCATGCTGGAGGTGCGGGCTGCCGCGGGCGCGGTACCGCGGGTCGGTGACAGCAGTGGCGGTCTCGTGAGCTAGCACAACGTGTGGGTACTGAGGTGGCGGTCCTCGGGGCTCCGGGCCCTCGGCATGGGGGCCCCTGGGCGGGGGGCCCTGCTGATTGCGGGCCAGCTGTGGGAAGCTGTGGGAGGAGCTCATGTGGCTGGGGACCCGGGCACCGTTCCTCTCCAGGGACAGCTGCAGGAGCCGCTCGCTCAGGGAGCGCACATGGCCGTGCCTCAGCTCCCGCAGGGCCTCATCTTGCCTCCGATTGCCTCCAGGGCCCCCTCGGGGATCTTGGTCGCCAGCGTGCGGCCGGGGCCCTGCCTGCTGGGCCGCATAGTACTGCAGATGGGCTTTCGCCTCCTCGTAGGTGGGCAGCTCCTCACCCTTGCCGGGCTGTGGGCACAGCCGGTAGAGGGTATTCTCTGCCAGGTGGGCCTCACCGCCCTGGTGCTCCTGGCCCTGGGGCTCCTGCCTTGTGGCCTGCTGCACCTGGCTGTCCTCGGGTGCCAAAATCTCCAGGGAGGCTTGGGGGCTCCCTGTGCCCCCGGCTCCGGCCCCACCCCGCAGGGCCTGCTGCTGGATGGCCAGCAGCGTGCGTGTCTCGGTCAGATTGCCATAGCGCAGCTGCTCCTGGATGAGGCGGTGCAGGACAGTTCCCGAGGAGTCTTCCAGCGTCCTCATGCTTCCTCAGCTGGCACACACCCACTCAGACAACGGCCAGAGGCACGTGGCCCCAGGGAACCTGGGAAGAAAGAAAGAAGAACAATGAGCGGGGGCTCGTGGGAAAGGGTCGAACTTTCCTTCAGGTCCAAAGTTTAATGGTAAAGAGCAAGGCCCAGAATTCCACACAAGCCTGAGTTCAACCGCCAGAGCTGCCCCTACTGATTAATGCACGTTACCTAACCTCTGAGCCTCAGTTTCTCCATCAGAAAAAAAAAAAACCAGAAAGAATAACGCTTGTTGCATGAAGTTGCAAATTAAAAGACGCAATGGCTGTTGGATTGCTATTATAACTATATTCGTGGGGGCCTTACTATGCCTTAGAGAAAGACACCAGTGCCTAGAAGGTAATCAACCAGAAACCACAAGCTCCTGCAGTCAGCCACCCATCAATGAGCCTGATGAGGGATTCCAGGACAGGCCTAGGTCAAACAAACCACTTAGCTGTCCAGGCCAGGGGTGCCCAGGGCCCCGCTTTATTGGCAGGTGATAAACAACGAGTCCAATCCAGAAGAAGCCCTGGGCAAACAGCTCCCAGCACCCTCTGGAATGAGGCACACCACAGCTTCAGCTAACTGACCACCCTTCACCCTGAGGAGCCCTCCCTGTCATGGGATGACCTTGGCATCCACTCTGCAAGGGAAATAGAAAGAGGAGAAATGACTCTGGTTGGGTGACTAAGGGATGAGAGAAGCCACATAGGGCAATGGTTCTGTGAGATGAGGCAAAAGGGGCGACCCATCAAGGTTTGTGGGTCAGTCACAGAGCCTGCGTGTGTTGATAGTATCAGTATGGGCGCTCCAGGGAAAAAGAAAGAATGGACAATGTCTTTGAGTTTACAATCACCGCCACCACCACACACACCACCACACACACCACCACTACTACTGCTGCTGCTGCTGCTGCTGCTGCTGCTGCTGCTTAGAAAAGCCCCTTATGGTCCTCTAGCCACATAGCAGATGGGCACTCAGCATCTGGACATCAGTAACACCCAGTTGAGCCAAATGGAGGAGTAAGGAAAGGGGAGGGGGGTGTCCTTGGTTGCAGGGACCTGGAGCTGGGGACTGAGGGCTGGGGGCTGTGGGTGCAGGGAGATCTGAGGAAGGTGTTCCCTTCGGAGTCCGGGCTCCCAGGGGCTCATGCCTGGAAGGCGGCCTTCCTACCAGCTTCCTTTCCACGGCCTCCTCCAACACAAACCTCCACACTGGGATTCAGGGAAAGCCAAACAAAACCCACACCTCCACAGGCCCTGTGTGCATGGGAGGAGGGGAATGGGAGGAATGCGGCCCTTCCTCTGCCACAAAACTGGATCCAGTGGCTGCTGCATTGGGCTTGGCAGGTTGTCAGAGCAGCCATTCCTCGTCCACTCCCTCCTCCCTAGTTGCCCACAGCCGAGGAGCAAGAGGTAAGGCTGGAGGACATCTCCGTCCCCATCCTTCCTGGCACCCTAGCATGCCGCCGTCGCACCCCCCCCCCCCCACACACACACACACACACTCCATGGAGATGCAAGACTTCAGGGCTACCAGAGGCAACACAAACAAGAACCAGTTCGCCCCAGAGCAGCAATTTTCAACCGCTGTGCTGCGGGGAGGCACACTGGCATGCCGCAGGAATGTTTAAAACATGCAATGCCTGACTATTTAGTCAGGGACACTGACCTCTTTTCCCTTAGATTGAAAAAAAAAAAAAAAAAAAAGACAACAACCAATGCAACAATAGCCCTCCAGTGAGAATGAATAAAAACTATATCTATTTTTTGGTCAGATCGGCAATAAACAAATAAATATTTTTTTTGGTGTGCCGCAGAATTTTAGCCATAAATTTATGTGTGCCAATAAATGAAAAAGGTTGAAAATGCCTTCACCCAGTCATTTCCTAAGCCCCTCACTGTCCGCCTGACGGGGGACAGATTCCCTTCCTTCCTCCTTCCCCCAACAGTGTGCCTGGGAGCAAGGAACGCCTCCTCCTGGCCTCTCACCCCGAAGAATCTCTTCTTGCTCGTCCAGACCCTCGGGTGCACATCTTTGTAGCTGAGCCTGTTACTAAAATCTGCGTCCCCCCTTCAAACCCTCCACCTCCGCGGTTCTCGCCGGCTGCAGCGGCGCGCCGGGGTATCCGAAACCCCTCCTTTCTAAGCAAGCACGCACCTCGGCCTTTGCCTGAAAAGAGGGAGGGTCTCTCCTACCGCCCCGCAGCCCGGGAGCCTGCTTACCCGCACCCCCAGAGGACTATCAGCGCCCGGGAGGGCTGTCCGTGCGCCCCGGGGGAGGGCGGAGGGGCTGTCCGTGCGTCCCGGGAGGGGGCGGGAGAGCTGTCTGTGCGCCCGGAGGGCTGTTCGTGCCCCCCGAGCCGTCGGGCGCGGGGAGCCGGCGGCCCGGCGAGGGCTTTTGAGCTCGGCGGGCGCGCCCCCTGCCCTCCCTCGCCAGCCTCTTTGTTTTCCGAATGCCCCAGCGCTGACGTCACCGGGCTGGACGGCAGGCTGCATTCCTTCTAAGTGAGAGCCAAACCGTGGCTCCAAAGAGGATTTTCCAAGGAAGACAAAGAGGAATTCTTGGGCTAGCTGGGGGGCCAAGGCACCTGTGACCCCCCACCTAATCAGATCAGCCCCAGGGCCCTGGGACTTACATTCGAAACCGTGCCTCTGGTTCTGTTCCGCGCCCCAAACACGAACCCCGCTCTCCCCCCCAGAGGCTGCCCCGCTCCCCAGCTCTAGGGGACCCTCGCTCCTTCGGGAACTCCCCCCACTCCGGGGGCGCGCAGTGCAGCACCCCTGGGGGCGCGAGGCCCTGGCCCACCTTTGTCACTGCCTGAAAAGGGGCTCCCCGGCGCCCCGAGGATGCTGGGTCCGCCGGGCTCCTGCTCCCGGAGAAGACCGAGCTGCGCCAAGGACACGGGATTTGTCTTGGGGCGCGTCCCCGCCGGCCCCGCGCGCTGCCTGTAGCGCCGATCGGCCCTGCTTACCGCCGAGGCCCGCGGGTGCTCAGCGCCGTCAGACCCGGGACCCGGCCCGGCGCTCCCCGGCTCGGCGCGGCGGCGGAGGTGTGCACTCGGCGGCGGCGCCGATGCTCTGGCCGCCCGGGCCCCAGCGCGCAGCCTCAGGGTCGGCGGCGCGCGCTGGAGGCGGCTGCTATGCCAGGAATGTGAGAGTTTCAGGTTCCCCCTGGGGATCAAAGCGAACCACAAATAACCTCCCCGCGCGCCGCCCTCCCTCCGCCCTCCGCCCTCCGCCTCCTCCCGCTCCCTCGGCCCGGCCCCCACTGGCCTCCGGGGAGGCGGCGCTGCGGGGCCCGGCGCGGGGCTGGCCCCCAAGCCCTGTTCCCGGGCCGCTCTGGACTCTCCTGGACGCACTGCGCCCCTCCCCGCCCCGCTCCCGCCTCCCCGGTGCCGCTCGGATATGCTTTGCCTTCGGAACTGCTAGGGGCAAATTAATCCAGCTCAGTCCAATAACTTCCCCGCCTTCCGATCACCCCTTCATCTCACGTGTCCCTGAAGGATTCTAGGTGTCGTTGCGGGAGAGGACTGGGCATGGGGGGCGCAGCAGTGTGTGTGTGTGTGTGTGTGTGTGTGTGTGTGTGTGTGTGTGTGTAAAGGGGGGAGGAGGGCTGTAAAGTCACATCTGCCTGGTGGAACCGTGCACCCTCGGGAAGAGAAGACTTTGCTTTCTGCCTGGAGCCTTTCCCTAACCCCCACTGCTTTCCCCGCTCGCGGCGACCTTTGAATTGCACTTTTATTGTTTACTAACACCTTTGCCAGCTCTTTTAGGATCTGTCTCCGCAGGAAGTGCGGATCTGGGTTGGAAAACGTACCACTTATTGTGATCTCACACCGAACCAATGAATCACCTGCCGCCAGGCGCTTTGTCCAGCTCTAACCGAAGAAGGCAGAGATGGGCAACTCCTTATGCAGAGCGCCCGGTGTGCCACCACCCGCTCTTCTCGTCATCCCACTCGGCCCTCCCAGTCATCCTGCCGGGGAGTTCTGTTACCATCCTTATGTTATAAATGACACCAAGTCTGAGAGTTAATTGGATTGCCCTGGGTCACACAGGGAGTAGGTGATGAAGCTAGGTAACCACTGGGCTGCTTAGTTTCTCATTCTCAAAACCCTTCCATAGCCACCATAATCCAGGCTCCCTAGAGGGCCAGGCCAGGCTCTGGGAGCCCACCTCTTCCCATCTGCCCTCTCTCTAGTCCAGTGTCTTCCTCATTTCCCCCTATACCCCTGCCAGCCACCAACACCCCCCATCCCTCCTCCCTCCATGTCCACTTCTGTTTCTCCTCTGGATGGAATTCTCTTTTCTGCCTTTAGGACTCTCCCTCCCTTCCTCATCCATCTTCCTACTAAGCTGGTCCATTTGTGCTGATGGAAACCCTTTCTTCAGAAACCCTGCCCTGACACACCCTCCCTACCTGCCTTTCCCTTCCCCCACAGCTCTGTTTGGCATTCCTGAGCCCTAACCACACTGGGCCTCCTAACACCTATTGGGGAGAGGGGGGAGGAAGAGAGGGTCTGTCAGTGCTGTCCACCAGGAGGGGGGAGAGGAAGAGGGTCTGTCAGTGCTGTCCACCAGGAGAACCAGGGCTAACTTCCACATGTGTCTGGGTCATCACCTCCCCTCACCACGACGTTTGCAATCCCAAGGTCTGCTGGAGGGGGGCCAGGAACAAGAAAACTTGGTAAGTTTAAAGAGCTATTTACCAGGGACATTGTTAATTTTTAATAAAACCCTCCCAAAATATTTGTGTATGTGTGTGTGTGTGTGTGTGTGTGTGTGTGTGTGTGTTTGTGATTTACTTGGAAGCCAAATATTGCATTTGGCTTACCTCTGCAAACAGTGATCAGCTCTGAGACAAATGAGAAAATAAGTCATCTGTGCCAAGCCGAGGGATGTTTGGCTATCCACGGACCACCTCACCAAGAGAAACTATGACCAGTACAGACCAGTATGCCCCTGTCTC